CGTAACCACCATCTGCCCGGCCCTCATCTCTGAAGTCCCTGGAACCTGCGTGCCATCCCGTCTCCACCTCTGTTCCCACCCGCCGTGGCACCCGGTTTCCTCCGCGAGACTGAAAAACCTCTTCTCCCGTGCATGCACTTCAAATTTGCCCCATTCCGGTTTTTTGGTGGCTTCCTTCCGTCTTGGATCACCCAGCGGATCAACAAACATTTCATAGCAGCGATGCCCCAGCGAACCTGCCCGCACAGCGAACACAACCCTTTGGTCAGGTTCCCCGCACCCCGGTCAAGAAGCCCCCGGGGAGCCAATTTTTCCCTTGAGGCCTGAAGCTCATTTTCTCAGACCAGGCTCTCTGCCCTACATAAACATGTTGACTTTCCTAGTCCCTTCCCACATCCAGCTCTTATTTTGGCTTTGTTGGGTCTCATCTTGCCAATGTGGCCAAGCGCAGGCCGCTTGGGCCAGCCCCGCAGTGAGGACAGAGAGGAGGCAAGGGCCGAGGAGGGCAAGACCCAAGGGGAAACACATCCAGCCTCCGCTCAGGACACAGTTACTTCCTTCCTACTAAAAATAGCTGGGGGTGGGGGGAGTTTATTGGTCCAAGTTTAAAAAAAAAAAGCCATTTACAAAACGACTCTAGTCTTGCTTCCTGATTGAAACTATTTTTTAGGGACCCCTGGGTGGCTCAGTGGCTTGGCGCCTGCCTTCAGCCCAGAGTGTGATCCTGGAGACCTGGGATCGAGTCCCACGCTGGGCTCCCTACGTGGAGCCTGCTTCTCCCTCTGCCTGTGTCTCTGCCTCTCTCTGTGTCTCTCATGAATAAATAAAATCTTAAAAAAAAAAAAAGGAGCTATTTTTTAAATGTCTTTAGAGGTGAATGGTTACCAGCTTATTGGATGTTGCATATTATTTTCTTTTAAAGGGTGGGAAAGAGGGGACAAAGGCAAGGTATCAGGAAACCACAGTTGAGACGTCACCATCTCACACCCAGAGCAATTGTGACCGTCACCTAGGCCAGGCATTCGGCGTGGCATGTCGCATGTCACCGCCAGGGATGCCCCAGCAGGAAGCAGCTAGGGCAGCCCTGGCTACGGCTGACCCAACAGGTCACGGGGACCCTGAAGTCCTGGCGCCGAGGACCTCCACGAGCGGCACCCCCACTCCCACCTCTAGAAGACCATCAGGGACATCCCAGGTATTTAATAAGTACCTTCAGCCAAAAGCCAACAGGTCCCACCAGAGTGCTGGGGAAGTAGCAGCGACTGAGGACAAATGGCAGAGGGTGATCTGAGAAGTCACCTGACAGTTACGATTTTGGGTTTTCCCCTCCCCCATCCTCATCTACAAACAAAATCTCAAACCCCTTACTATAAAAAATACAAAGAACTGTGAATAGGACATTATCAACAAAGTAATAAAAATAACATCCTAACTCAGGGACCCGGTGTACAGGAAACACCTAGCACTGAGCCATTTTTTAAAAAACATACTTTGAAATCTCACTTTGTTGGAAAGATTCCCTATCAGCCTTTTTAATACAGAAGATTCTGACCTCGAGAGACTGAACCTCAAAACAAGACTTAAACTACAAAGGGGTAGAGGGTGCCGAAAGCCCGTGGTATCCACAAGCCAGGGCTAAACGCACCCCACACGGTCACACCCGCAATCACTCACATAGGGCCGCGCTGATGGGGACACCCTGGGCTCCCAAGCATCCCAGGCCATGCTCACCAAGATCTGCCTAGTTGGGCCACCTCGGGGACTCGCTAAGGGCTCTCTGCCTTTTCTGATGGGGAAACTGATGCAGAGATGCCACCTGCCTCAGTCAACGTTAAACGCTCAGGGAGGCGCTTTGGCTTGGAGTTCCGCTTTTCTATTTCAAAACTGATCCAAAGCACCTCAATCCAAAACCATAGCTCTTAATTTCAGGTTAAGAATCCACTCACTGGGGGCGAGCTGGCTCAGGCAGTAGAGCATGTGACTCTTGATCTCAGGGTGGTCAGCTCAAGCTCCGCACTGGGCAGGGAGCCTACTTTTAAAAAAAGAAAGAAAAAGAAAAAAGGGGGGGGGGGAGTGCCTGGGTGGCTCAGTGGTTGAGTGTCTGCCTCAGGCTGTGATCCCCAGTGCAGGGATCTCAAGTCCCACCCTGAGCTCCCCACAGGGAGCCTGCTTCTCCCTCTGCCCGTGTCCCTGCCTCTCTGTCTCTCATGAATAAATAAGTCTTAAGTAAAAAAAAAATCCATTTGCTGAAATCACTTTCCTGGGTCAATCACTGGCTGAAATGGGTCTTTTTTTTTTTTTTAAAGGTTTACCTGTTAATTATTTTCAAACTTTTATACCTTCTCCCCTTCCTCCACAAAGGAGTACACAAACTCCGTTTTATTAATATCTCACTGCATTAACTATAAAGTAGCACCTTGAAACAGAACTTTCTCCGCAGAACTGTACTAATATGGTGGCCACTAGACACAGGCATCTATTGTGTATGTGAATTCTGGCTACAGGGACTGAAAAAACAGAATTGGTAATTTTATTGAGTGTAAATTAATTTGAATCTCAATGTTCACATGTGGCTACTGGCTACCATAGTGGACAATGAAGCTATAAAAGCCATCCCTCCACTCCGGTCAATGTCTCATGATCCCAGGGAGCTGGGGCTGTATCCGTACACACACCTCAATATAGATTCTCTTCATGGGCGTGTGTATGTAATTTAAAGAGCTTTAATGTCCAAATGTGAGCAGTCATGCTAGGTAGGCATGAAAACAGGAACACCAAGCCAAGGACCCGGGCTTCAGGAATCAGATAACCCTCCCTCCACTGTATGTTTGCAAGTCAGTTCTCTGCAGCAGAATGGAAATGATCATTGCTGGCACAGGGCATGAAGTGCCTGTAAAATCCTCAGTGCATGGCATCCAAATAACGTGAAGACAATTATTCGACGTGCACAACAGCAACTCTAAAATGTATAAGCAGCTTTATAGTTTTCAGAAAACTTACACACCTGTTCTTTCACGTTTCCTCACAATACACACTGAGTACCACGATTTCGAATTTCCTTTTCTTCTTTTTACACATATAGAAATGACGCTCAGAAAAGCTGCAGCAGTGGAGCGCAAGAGGGTGGGCCCTTTCACTAGTTCAGGCCAAATAGGGACAAAGGCTGGGTTTGTAGCCAAGCATTATGTGTCCAGACGGAGTTGGATTCCAGGGCTCTGTCCACCTCTCTGCAAGCCCTAGAACCACTGAGGCCCTCCTGACAGGCCGTTCAGGGAAATTCCAGATGCCATCGCACAGATGAGGAGCCCAAAGCTCCCACAAGTGAAGATGAGATCAAGACCAGCCGCCACATGACTCCGGCACCATCCCTACCCAGCCCAGGAAAACCTTCAAACATTCAGGAGGAGTGAGGTTTGGGAAATGTAAACGGGGGTGTTGTTGATAATTACTGGACTGATTAAGCTCTCTATAAAAGCAAAAAGAGAAGCCAACCCCACAGGATCCAGGGATCCTTGCCCTGCAGCGCACACCAGCAACTCAAACACCTAAAATCCTAATTTTTGTCCCACAGGTGTGTGTTAAGGGCTGGAATCCCCTTAAGGGCCATTTTAATGTGGGTCAAGTGACGAAGTTCAACTTTTATCCCTGGAGTAGTTATCCAGCTGTGCGTTTTTGCAGGAGAATCTGCAGCACACCTGAGACACTGCCATCCTCTAAAATGAAAGTGTCATCCTAACGTCTTCATTGGGCCATAATCCACATTCTGGTCCCCCATCCCCCACCGCCTCTTTTCTAGAAATGAGTAGTTGTAAACTTTTTGTAAAACGGTGAAGAGCCATTTGCTACCCGGAAGCCCCCACTTGGGACCTTAGCAGGGCTCTCCCTAGCCCCCGCCCCCATTCTCCTCCCGCTTAGAGTCCCGCCACTCCCCTTCCAGGTTAAAGCAGGGGCTCCGGCGACTCATCAGAAGAGAAAAACATCCAGAAAAGTCGGGTCAAGCCCCATGTGACAATACAGAGCACAAACAGTTGCAGATGCAATGGGAGGGTGGGAGGGGGAGGTGTTTGTTTGTGGGTTCTGCTGCACAGCAGCACCGACTGGCGGGGGGGGGGGGTGCGGGGTGCGGGGGGGGGCACCGCTAACTTTGTGGAATTCGCAACGCAGTGGGCTCGGGGAATGCCAGGCCGCGCGGGGAGTGGGGAGTGGGGAGTGGGAGCCGAGGCCTGAGCGACCGCGCGCTCGGGCGACGCACGTGAAGCGCAGGCCCTGCTCGCGCGGGCGGGCCTCCAGCGACCCCGGGTCGCCGCCGCCAGCCGCGCCCCGCCCCCTCCCGGTGGGGAAGCGCCCCCCCCCCCCCAGGCGCCGAGCAACAGGTCTGCACCCCCGGCAGGCCGCGCTCTGCAGACCCCGCCTCGCCGGGGCGCCCCCCAACACACACACACACGTCGCCCTGGGCCGGGCCCCGCGCTCGGGCCGGCAGCTCCCGACTTCCTTGACAGTTTCTGCGTCTGCGAACTGAGCAGCCGCCGGGCCCGCGCCGCCGCCGCCGCCGCCGCCGCCGCCGCCACTGCCGCCGCGCTCCCCGGTCCCGGGCCGGCTGGCCGGCGCCCGCCGATGAATGGGGCGCCCCTCCCCCACGGGGATCCCGCGGCCCCGGGAGCGCCAGACAAAGGGACCCCGGGCGCCGGCCGAGCGCTTCCCCAAACTTAGCGGACCCCGGCCCCGCGCGCCCGCACTTCGGGGAGCGGCCGCCCCGGGCATTGTTCCGCCTGCAGGGAGCGCGCCGCACCCCGGCCCGAGCCGCGGGGACACTTGGGGACCCGGCCCCGCGGAGCCCGGCGGAGCCCCACGGAGCCCCGCGGAGCCCCGCGGCCGGGCGGGGCGTGCAGGCGCCCCCCGCCGCAGCCCACCCCCCGCCGCCGAAGTTTGCGCCCCCCGCCCCCGCCCGCGCCCCCGCCCGCGCCCCGCGCCCGCGCCCGCGCCCGCGCCCGCGCACTCACCTCGCCGCCCGCCGCGCAACTTGTGGCGGCGCCGCCGCGCTCCCGGCCTCGCTGCCGCCGGCCGCCGCCGAGCCCCGGCCGTGCCGCGGCCGAGGAGGGCCCGGCGCCCCGGAGCAGCCTCGCGCCGCCCCCGGGCCGCCCCCGCCCCGCCGCCGCGAGTCCCCGAGACGCGCGGGCGCTGGAAAGTTTCGGGTGCCGAATGGCGGCCGAGGGCGCTGCGGCGGCGGCGGCGGCGGCGGCGGGGCGGGGGCGCTGGCGGCTCCTCGCTCCCGAGAGCCGAGTGGGGGGGGCTGGGGCGGGAGCGGCGGCGGCGGCGGCGGCGGCGGCGGCGGCGGGAGAGGGCGGGACGGCGGGAGGGACCGGCACGGGCAGTGACCTCCGGGCGGGGCGGGGGGGCGGCCGGCGGCGCGCCGACCCCGGCCGGGAGGGCTGCCAGGGGGGCCGCCTGGCACGGAGGGCGGGACGGCGCCCCCACCCCCAGCCCGGCCCCTCCCCCACGGCCGGGGGGAGGGGAACCCGCGTCCGCGCCGCCCCGCCCCGGCGCCCTGGGGGGGCCGCGTCCCCGCCTGCCCCTCCCCCACGGCGCAGGGAGGGGGCGCAGTCCGCACGGTCTAGGGGGGGCCCCGCGTGCTAATCCAGCCCCCGTCCTACTGCTGGGGGGCGGGGGCCTGCGACCCTGCACGGCCCTGCACCCCAGGCTCGGTCCTCGGCACCCCACCCCCACCCCTAGTGTGGGTGAGGGGAGCCCGGGCCTCTCCCTCCCCCACCCCGTGGCCTGCAGGGGGAGGAAGGGGACCCGGCCTACCCGCCCCCCCCCCGCAGTCCTAGTCCCAAACCCAACCTTTCCCCCCACTGCCTGGAGGGGACAGGAACCCGGGCCACCACCCCCGCGGTTTCCGGGGGGGGAGGGGGAAGGGAAACCCGAACCACTGCTAGAGTCCTGCCCTCCCCCACCTCCAAGAGCAGCTGCCCCGCGGCCCTAACCACCCCCTGCGAGCGGCCCCAGGGTGCACCTCCCTCAAAATGCGCGGCTCGGAGGGCCCCCCAAGGCCTCGTCCCCCCTCCCAAGAGGCTGGGGGCTCAGGCGGAGCCTCGACCTTCGCAAAACACCTCCCGGAAAGAGCCAGAAATGCTTGGGGAGAAAGAAACTCGGAGAAAAGACACACAGAGGGGGAAGCCAGGAGCTCCGGGGCAGGGCGGGGGCGCTGGAGCTGGGGGCCCGGGGCTCTCGGGCCTCCTCACTCCCGCCCCCCACCCCACCGCACCCCACCCCCTGGCTCCGCGAAGGGTTTTCTGTTGCAATGGCCTACTCGGCCCAGCCCAGCGCACCCAAGGCCCCAGAGCTCCCTCCACCCGCGGCTTGGAGACCCCTGCCCGCCGCTCGCGGCCTTAATTCAATTACACCCGCACCGCGCCCACCACCCCACACTGGGGCGTCTGCTTTGTTGAATATTTGAAGATAACCTTGCCCCTCCCTTCGGTGTCTAATGAGCTTTGCGCTCAGAGCCCAGTACACTCAGCATTTTAAACTGTAACCTCACTTGCTCCTTCTGGGACACTGGACCATTTGTTGTTCAGGTTGTTGGGGGGAGGAGGGGCCCGAGGTGAGTTTTTAAGGGGCTGGTCCTCCATCAAAAAGGCGGACCTAGACCTCAGCCGGCCAAATACTGCTGTAAAACGTCAATGATGTAAAACGACTGTTGCTACACCACTATTAGAGCACATCAATAAAAAATACACACTTACACAGTCTCCATAATTGTGAATCAGCAGAATAGATTGTGTCTTATTATGTATCAGTTGCCATTCAAGGGCCCCCCAAAAGGACGTGGTGGGGCCTTCCCTGGAGCCTGCCCTTCGATGCTCCCCGGCTCCCTGGGCTTGTGCGGACTGAGGCTGAGGTATTACATGCAATCGAAAAACCAAGGGTGCAATAGAAAGCCCGAGCAAGCTCATGATGCAACCCTGCCCGAGTTACACGTGCTTCCCTTCCCCCACCGCCTGCTGGTGGGAGCGCTGCGTTTTTTCCGCCTGTAGGGTCACATTGTGGTTGATTGATTCTCCTTTCGCCTTGCTCAGTCATTCAGATTTGGAAAGTAAATAACAAGTTGACATCATTACAGCTCTCGGCTTTACGGGGACGCGGCCCTCGGCTACCGCACACTCTCGAGTAGCCGCGCAGCCCAAACTGGCCCTCGGGCTGGCCAGCCCTGCCGGTCGTTAGCCGCTTGGAAATTCGGAGCTCAGCTCGGTGACAAGCCTCTTTGGACCTTTTGATTACTCGGCAGGTGCCAATCATTGAAAGGATAGGAAAGGGGTGGGAATCCTCGCTCCCAACTGTGACCACCGCCGTGTGGCCCATTCTGACAGCTGGCCTTTGGTGTAGCAGTGAGAGCCAGCGAGCTCAGAATCCATCCTGTCTCTTGGGTCATGTCCCAACAATCCCAAAGGTCTTCCATTAGTAGGGAGCCTAGCTTATCCTAGGCCCCCTCTTCCTGTCTGTAAGACCCCAGACAGGAAAACACACCGCCTACCTTTATCATGATGTCACTGAAATTTCCTCTTTCTGAAATGCTAGATGAGTGGTAGGTAGGTGGTAAATTAGACTCTTTTATCTCATGTGTTTTGCAGATCTCTCAAAAGTGTGTGTCTTATGAAGTGGGAGAAAACAAGGGAAACAGGAAATAGAGCAGAGCAGGAAAGGAGCTATTATATTGTGAAAAAAACTAAAGGTTAATAGGGAGAGTGTGAGCAGCGATGATTTCCACCGGCATCCGCGGCTCAGGATCTATCTATATGCCAAACAATTATTTTTGGTTTTCCTGGCTGGAGGGAGCTGACAAGAGCCTGCTTGCAACAAATGCTATCAGTATTTCCCCCTAAACAGTAGCCAAAATTTTAATTAAAAGGCAGGAGGAGCCCACGCAAATATACTCAACTAATTTGACGAAATTAAATGCAAAGGCATTTTAATGGAGAAAGAATATCCTTTTTAATGAATGGTTCTCTAGAACAATTGGACCTCCATATGCAAAAAAAAAAAAAAAAAAAAAAAAAAAAAACACCATAATCTAGCTATAGACCTTATGCTTTTCGCAAAAACTGACTCGAAATGAGTAAGTCTAAATGTAAAAAGGCAACACTATAAATCTTCCAGAAGGTAACATAGGAGAAAATCGAGATGACCTTGGGTTTAGCAGTGAGTTTTTACATACAGCCCCCAAAGCATGATCCATTAAAGAAAAAACTATTAGGTTGAACATCAAAATTAAAAACATCTACTCTGCAAAAGACCCCATTGAGAGAATGAAAAGACAAGCCACAGCCTGGGAGACAATATTTGCAAAATCCATATCTGATTAAGGGTTGTATCCAAAATTTACAGAGAATTTTTAAAGCTCAATAAGAAAGCAACCTAATTTTAAAAATGGGCAAAAGATCTGGAAATACTTCATGGAAGAGATACTCAAGTGGCAAATAAGCATATGAAAAGATGTTGAACATCATGTATCACTAGGAAACTGCACATTAAAACAAAATACTGGGGCACCTGGCTGGCTAGTAGGAGGAGCCGAGGAGCCTGTGATTCTTGATCTCAAGGTTGTGAGTTTGAGCCCCACACCAGGTGTGGAGGTTACTTAAACTTTAAAAATAAGTAAATAAAACAAAATACCATCTCACATCTATTAAAACAGCCGCCCTCCCTCCCCAGTGACAACACCAAATGCTAACAGGATGCAGACCAACATACATTGCCCATGGAATACAAGATGGTGTGACCACTTCAAAAGACAGTTTAGCATTTTCCAAATGCTAGACACAGTCTTACCGTATAATCCAGCAATTGTGCTCCCACATATTTACTCAACTAAGTTGAAGACTTGTGTCTACACAAACCCCGCAGGGGGGTGTTTATCATGACTTTACTCATAATGGCTGTACATGGAAAGCAGCCTTAGATGCCCCTCAGGAGGTGAATGGAGAAAGTGGGGCACATCCCTACAACGGAATACTATTCAGCAATAAACAGGAATGAGCTATCAAGCCATGAAAAGACATGGAGGAACTTTAAATGCACGTCACTAAGGGAAAGACACTCATCTGAAAAGGCTCTATGCTAAATGCTTCCAACTCTGTGAAGCTCTGAAGAAAGCAAAACTAAAAAGGTCAGCAAATGCCAGGGGTTCTGGGGATGGAAGAGGAGTGATGGACAGCTGGAGCACAGGCCATTTTCAGAGCAATAAAACTATTCCAAATGATACTGTAACAGCAGATACACGACATTGTACATTTGTCCAAACACTTAGAACTGCACAACAGGAAGAGTGAACTCTAATGTAAATTATGGATTTTATCCATATTGATTCATTAATTGTAACAAATGCCCCACACTGAGGAAAGATGTTAGCACTGGAAACTGTAAGTGAGAGGCAGACACTATGGGAATTCTGCACTCACCCTAAATTGTTTTGTAGATCTAAAACTGTTCTTTAAAACAAAAATTCTGGGGCACCTTGGGTGGCTCAGTCGGTTGAGCATCTGCCTTTGGCTCTGGTCATGATCCCGAGTTTCATGATCAAGCCCTCTGATGGGCTCCTTGCTCCTCAGGAAGTCTGCTTTTCCCCCTCTCCCTCTGCCACTCCCCCTACTTGTGCTCTCCCTCTCTCCCTCTCTCAAATAAATAAAACCTTAAAAAAAAAAAAAAGTAGGACGAGGTATCAAACTCTTTACGAGACTTAATGTCCAGTTTTTATTGACTCCAGTACCTAATATCCCCTAGGCTCATCTGACTTTCAAAGATTCCTAACACATAGGCCAAGATCTGTTTCCATGAGTGGCCCCTTCAGAAAGCCCTGAGATTCCGAGACTGACACGCTGGATGTCACAATGAGCCTTCCTTGACGTTCACAGAGCATGCCTTAACTTTGAGTAAGTGCCCACCACGATCTTTGCTTATGAAAAAGGGAGGGGGGCGGGGGTTTTTGGGTATGTGTGCTTTCCAACTTTATGTACCGACCTCGGACCTTTCTTTGCTCTGGGGTTTGCTTCCAATTTTCCTTAGAGAGACTGAAAACAAACTATAAAAGGAGGAGCTGGTGGTGGCAGGTGGTCGCACATGAGT